CCCCTGTCTCCCCTCCTCCGCCCGCACGGAATAATAATTACTCCGACGAAACACTAATTCCTCCACTTTCCAAGGCCCGAGAAACACTTGGACATGACTAAGATACGGACGGTTCTTGTAATTATTGGTTTGCCATTTTCTTGACGTGTTGTAAAATCTTTGCGAATTTTTTAAGAAACGCATGAAAGAGCAAATAATTAAATTTGGGAGTTTTGAAGAATAATTGATTTTATGGGGCACCCAAGTTGAGATAGCTGGTTAGTTTTGCGATTTTTCGAGTGTTGCAAAATGTTTGTAAATTTTTTAAGCTCGTTTTGCTCAGAATAAAACAAAATTAAGGAGTTTAGGAAAATAATTGATTTTGAGGCAGTGGAGAAAGCTTGTAAGTTTTGCCATTCTTCCTGTGTTGTAAATTTGTAAATTTGCAAACCCCTTTTGCGGAAAGAAGAAAGCCTTAGAATTGAAGAATTTTGAATAATATACGATTTTTGACACATTCCCGACTGGTGAAAGGACAAAAAGTATGTACTTCAGAGCAGATTGACACATAATAGAAACAAAACTGCCATGGTGAAAGCGAGCCTTACGAGTTTTGCGTATTTTTGCGATGATTGGCGTGAAGTAAAATATATATTTGCAGATTCTGCGATTGCGAATGTATATTTTTTTGAACTCCATTTGCGAAAAGATTGAGAAATTTGGAGGATAAATTAATTTTCCCAAGGGAGAAAGTACACCACATGGACAATAAAAAGTACGTGACCCGATACATATTTCGAGACATGGTGGAAAGAAAGCTGTCATGGTGAAGGTGTGCCTTACTTGGTGAAAGTGAGGCTTTCTCCAAGGATTTAGGGGAGACCATAAATAGCTGGGTCCACCATCCAACGATAACAAACCCTCGTTTCGGTGAAAGCCTGATGTTTCCATGGTTTCCGAAAAAATGGGAAAAACTCCTTAAACTTAGGTATGTAGCCGTTAGGAAAACCGTTATTTAACCCTCGTCTGATCCCATGTTTATCGGGACACGGACAATTCCAACGTCAGTAACTATTCCCTCGTCGAAATAAATTGATAATTACCTTCACTAAAATCACATCCAATTTAGAAATTGGAAAATTCCCGAGCACAAAAAAAAGAAGAGCGAGTGGTTTATTTGGCAAGTCAATGACGCGTAGGATCGCCTCGTCAGCATTTATTTATCGTTGGTTGGAAAGAAGCAAAAAAACACGTGTCGAAACCGAGATAGCAAGATTGATTGGGATCATTCTAAGTCCGGTAGATTATGTGTTTATGATTTCCGAAAAAATGGGGAAAAATCCTTAAAATGAAACCCTCGTTTCGGTGAAAGTCTGGCAGATTGTGTGATTTTGGTTTCTGAAAAAAGTGGGGAAATAATTATTTAAAATTAAGTTCAAGATTCGGAGAAAGTCTGATAGATTGTATAATTCTGGTTACTCAAAAAATGGGAAAGATTCTTTAAAATTCAAACCCTCGTTTTAGTGAAAGTCTGGCAGATTATGTGTTTATGGTTTCCGAAAAAATAGTGAAATTCCTTCAAATTATAACCCGTTTATCGTGACATATGAAATCACTAATTATTTCCTCATCAAAATAAATTGATAATCGCTTTCACGCTAAAATCACATCCAATTTAGAAATTGGAAAGTTTCCCGACAAAAAAAGAGTGAATAGTTTATTTAGCAAGTCAATGACGCGTAGGATCGCCTCGTCAGCATTTATTTATTTTTGGCCAAGTCGAAAAAAACGTGTCGAAACCGAGATGCCAAGATTGATTGGGGGCATTCTGGAGTGGAAAGGGAATCCTGGATAATAGTGCACACGCCACGCCACGTACGCACACCTGCCAACACTGATCGTCATCATGATCTCATCCGCACGGAGGATTCCGTCCAATTTTTTTCCACCTCATTTATTCCCGACAAGTACAAAGATCAAGGTTTCCCACATTCTCGTCTCAGGATTAAACCCCGCGTCGGGATCATTTTGCATATTTATTTGGCTCCTTTTTCTCCATGGAAAACGTGGTCTATTTGGGTTGAGGAGAAAGTACTTTGTCAAAATAGAGAGTATTTCGTGGATGTTTGGATTTTCAGGGTTCTTACAGCCACAAAAAGTTGGAAATCTACAGGAAAATACATGGTTTTTTGAATGAATGAACTTCTAATAGCTGTCAAAACATGATATTTCCAAGATTTATTAAAAAGTACAGTGAGACAATTTAAGCACGCTTTTGTAATATTGTTAAATGTCCTTAAACCCATAACATTTTACAAAATTTTACTCAAATTTCGAAGGAAAATAACATTACAAAATTTTTGTAAACTTGCTCAGATTTAGGACGTCTTTTTGTTTTATATGTAGATTTTTTTTTTAAATTAAGGCATAAAACGCACAAATTTTACGAGTTACCATTAACTGCGTGAATTGCCAGACTGTTTTCACGATTCTTTTAAATTTGTAAACTAGTTTTCTTGTAAAAGTTTGTAAGTTTAAACAATTTACAGATTTTACAAAGTTACCAAAGACTGGGTTAAGAATTTTGACAACGATAAAACGTTACCTTCTTCACAAAATTTTGGTATGATTGCTGCTTTCTCCATGGAGAAAGTCGTCCTTTTATTTTGTAGCCCTGTAGAAATCCAAACCGATGCTCTTAAAATAGAAATGTGCCATATTTTGTCAGTCATCTTGTAGAATTTCCATGTAATAAATATGTACGTACGTTGGTACATATTTTGCCATCATTCCTGGCCCGTCAGTCAGCCTAATGGGCTTTTTGCGGATGACAGAGTCTACATATTTCTCGTCATCTGAGAAACAAGTCTGTTTGCGAATCACTCAAGGGGGACGAGTTGTTGCAAATTGATTTTCCAGGTAGGGAGCAGCCCCACGTAAATATTTCCCCAATCCGATTTCCTGTCTTTGACATTTTCTTCTCCGTTCTCGTCTCATCTTTCTTCATCTCGCTCCCTGTTTCTCCTCTCGCTCTGCATGAGATAAATAAAACGCTATCCTTCACCTTTTCATGATGATGATGATGGAAATGATGATGATGATCGGGGAGGAGAGGACGGATATGTATTTATTTTCTTGGTTTTTGCATTTGATTTCAACGAGTTTGTGGGCGTTTTTTAAACTTGTATAGAGGGCCAAAATTTTAAAATATTTTTGACATTGTTCCATATTTCTAGATTTGTATACATAAATATTTCCACTATCATTTGAAAAGTGAAAAAATTTTGCTGAAAGAATCAAAAAATTCAGTGTTAAAGGCAAACGTACAAATTCGTATTTTTGTTTTTTTATACATATTTCTTAAATATTTCAGCGATTTTTCTGTCAAATATATTGGATATTTTTTGAAGAATTGCATATACCTATTTTTAAATATTTCAGTAATTTGAGATGATTTTTTTTATTAGACCAAATTAAATTACTAAAGGATTAACTTCCAAAATATTTTTTTTTCGAAAATTCTTATTTTTTCGTACATATTTCGTAAATATATTCGCGCTTTTTTATTAAACACATTTCTTTCATTTTTCAAATATGCAAATGCATATCCGCCCTGTGATGATGCTTGCGGATGGTGATGACACGCAATTTAAAACAGGATTGACTTTGCCATCCGTTTCAGAATAAAGTAACTTTTCACTTAAATCGTGATCTCCTTCCAGAAGAATAAAAAATCGACTTAATAAATTCGGCCTTACATACAGACGGTGTGTGTTTCCGTGGGTGGTTTGAATCATTAATATACATTTGTAGGGAAATAAATTGATGTCGGAAACTGAAAAAAGATTTAAGATTATAAAAAAAATTATGAAAAAATTCGATGCAGTTGAAAAATACGCATCAGTCTAAAATAGAAGTTTTTGCCAAAAAAATTTCTCAAAATTCGTATAAAAAATGTTGCCAAATATATATATCTAAAAATTGCGTTACATAATTATGGTGGAAATTTGGATGAGTCTTGGTAAAAAAATTAAAAAATGTAATTAAGAAATTTTTTCGGTATTCTCACCTTACACATTATAACTAAATTCAAAATTGTCTTGTGTCCATATTTTTATACTGTTTAAAAATTATTCGCAAAATTTGAGGCTGTAATTTTTTCAAAAAATTATACATTATTAAGAGAGAAAAGCTGGAGAAGAAAGCAAAAATTCCAAAGAACAAATTCCAAACCTGTCTTGTCCATATTTTTAAAATGTGTAACAAAATGAATCCGTCTGAATCACGGACAGACAGATAAATCTGATACGAGTTTGATAAGCACTTATTTATTATATAAAAAATGTATACATCTGTCAAGAAAAAGACGGGAAAAAATTGAAAAACGACTTTCTCCCATGTATTTGTAATATTTAAAAAATTCAGACACATTTTTCCATTATTTCACAATTTATTGCAAAATTTATCAGTCTTTCTGTCTATCTAACAAACAGACAGATTAACCTCCGAGTTGGATAAGCACTCACCTTTTTTCTGCAAAAATTCTACATCGCTGCCCAAAAACTTTCACCCATGTCAACTGAATTATTCCTAAGTGTGCATCACAGATGCCCGTGCTTGTCCATATTGTTTTGTACTATTTCAAAATTTACTACAAAATCTGTCAAATAACGGACAGACAGATAACCCTCTTATGAGTTCGAGAAGTCTTAATTTTTCTTTAAAAAGGTATACATCATTGAAGAGAAAGCGAGAAAAAAACTGGACGACTTTCATCCTCCACGTCAATTAATCAATATCAAATATGCTTAACACATATTTTTAAAGTGTACTACAAACTCCATTCGTCTGTCTGTCACGTGACACACAGATAAACCTTTCCACCTAGTTAGATAAGCCTTGATCTTTTTTCTAAAAAAAATTCTACACCGTTGCCAACAAACTTTCACCCGTGTCAACTTAATTATTTGCAAGTCTGCCCACACGTCTTGACCGTTTTCTTCTTCTTGTCTGATTTTCAGGTGCGGTGGGCGGGGATGGAGAGGGCGAGACGGACAAGGAGAAGGAGGAAGAAGCCGAACGTGAACGTCTGGAGGCCATCCGTGAAGCGGAAGAACGAAGGAAAGAGAAACACCGAAAGATGGAGGAAGAACGGGAAAAGATGCGACAAGAAATCCGCGACAAGGTACGTTTCTTCCTGTCAAATTTAAGTCTCCGAAATCTGGACCCACATCACTCACTCGCTTTCTCTTTCGACGAATTTGTTTTCCTCGAAAATAGTTTCATGTCAGAGTTAATATGGGTTTGGGAACGGGTGAAAGTAAAGGAAAATATATGATTAAGTTAGGATTAGCAGAGATTCGGATTAAATGATGTTTACTTTCTCGTAGAGGAAAGCAAAAATGGCGATAGTCACGTGAGTATAGTTGCAAATACGAATGGATAGAAATTAACAGTGCATATTTTTTGCATTGCATTATATGAAATACGCGCCATCTAGCGGGTTACCCTTTCTGCTAGGTTTAATTATGGGAATTGTCCACTAGATGGCGCTTATTATGTGCATTTATTGCAAGTAACCACTTGTTTCCTGTCAAATTTAAGTCTCCGAAATCTGGACCCACATCACTCACTCGCTTTCTCTTTCTATTTACTTGTGTTGTTCATCGGTATGAAAAATAGCTTCGTGTCAGCAGTGTTTCGGGTGAAAGTATTAAAGATTTTGTGAGAAATAAGGGGGAGAAAGTGGTTTCTTGCAGGGGAATATTTTGGCCTGCAAGAAATGGATGAAACTACACTGTTAAAAATTTGGTAGACACTCCGTACTGGTATTGATTTGGTAATAATTTCCTATCGGATTGGTAGTAAATTGTTCCTGAGTGGTAAATTTTTCATTACCACAACATTACTGAATGTTAATTCCCGTTAATATCAGTACCGGTAGAGTCACTCATTCGGTAATGATTTAATACCAGTTTTCTAAGAGTGTACGCCCGCCGATGTAAATACTTCATACCGCTTGTGGCTAGATTGAGCATATTTCTTGCACTTCCTCCCAGTTTCTGGCACCTCACATTTCTTGCAGCTTCTTCCTTTCCACTGCAGCAAATGTGGTAAACCTGTGAAAATGTGTGAAAATCCTTGTAAAATTCATGTCCCCAAAAACTGGACCCACATCACTCACTCGCTTTCCTTTTCGTTTTCCTGTCCGTGGTATGAAAAATAGCTACCTGTCAGACTTAATGTGTCAGAAAAAGCGTAGAAAGCCGAGAAAAAAGATGTGATTAAGTTAAGATTAGCAGAGATTCGTGTTAAATGATGTTTACTTTCTCTTTGCGAAAATTAAAATGGCCATGGTCATGTGACTAGGGTCACTACGAATAAGCCCCCCTTCTTCCTATCTGACAATGCTGTGTCCCCCCAACTTCCACCGCCACTGATACACATAGAAGGAAAAAACGATGAAAAACAATCCTTGAAAAACAATCCAACTCGACAGGCGGACTAGAAACTCCGAATGAGTGACTGACAATGAGTGGCGGTATTGTAACTAGGAAAATTGATGCATTTTAGAAATTTGCATATTGAATTGGGGTGGAGTGAGATTAAAATACATGATAGAGTTATTCCGTTTTAACAAAGGAAAAGGTGGCATCTTGGTATATACGGATCTATGGATCTCTCTTGAAAAACCCGCCCGGCCGATAAGATCAGTGGCGGCGCAAGTAGAGGGACATTATGCCCCAAAAATTCATAAAAATCCTCTTTAAATAAGCCCCTCCTCTACCTACACTCAAAACAAGGTAGTAATGCATCATTACCATACGGAATGACTATGTGTCTCTACCACGTCGGTTACGATTTGTCGTAGAAATGGTAATAATAATTTCAGGGATATTCAAATTCATTACCAGATATTAAGGAAGTGAATACCATTATGTATTAAATTTGAATTTCCCTGATCTTATTACTATCATCTCTACGACAAATCGTAACCGACGTGGTAGAGACACATAGTCATTCCGCATGGTAATGATTCATTACTACCTTATATTTTGAGTGTATCTCGCAATTCTAATGTCCCCTAACTTCCGCCGGCACTGACTAAAGATAGAAAGAAGATGAGAAAAAATCCTTCACAAGCAACACGACAGGCGGACATGGGGAGGCAGCCTGGAAACTTGAAGCTGCTCCAAAGTGAGTGACTGAGTGGCGGTGCAGTTTGACAGCCTCTTATCGAGGAGGAAAAGGCATGACATCAATTTACTTAGCAGTTAGTAAGCGAACGAGCCCTTTTTACGACCCAATTCTCCACCACTCGCTTCTCTTACTCGTCTCTCTTGTTGGAGAAAGCGACGATGTCTTATCCATTTCCCACTCAAAACCGCACTTCCAACTTATCGGGAAAACGGGTGTAGGGTTGTCCCGAGGTTTGGGGAATGAATAACACTCCAACGAAGAGAAGAGGAGGAAGGGAAATGACAGGGCTGGAGTAAATTGTACTTTCACTCGGGCAACCAGGGTTTGCTACCTTTTTTTTGCACAAATGCAAATAAATTGCAAGAAATTTGCGCCCTCTAGCCACGCGCCGTATGAAGTATTTATACCGGCAGGAAGGAGTTTTTTGCAGCTTGCAGATCAAAATATCTGCGAGATACCACTTTTTTTCAAGTGGTTACTTTCACCTGAAACGTTGATGATGGATTTGCAAACTTTTAGACAAGATTTCAAAAATCAGGGTAGAAAATTAATAGTCTACAAAAATCGGAAAGGTTTCCTGGCAGTTTATTCTTAAAGGAGACATGTACCAACAATTAGTACAATATGCGTTGTGAATTTTGCCACATTTCTTACGGGTTTTCTCACATTTCTTGCACTCGAAACCAAGATATCCGAGGTGCAAGAAAGAGGGAGAAATAAGCGTCATCTAGCCACGCGACGTATGAAATATTTACGCTGCGGGGCGTCATTTCTCGCGCTTTGCATTTCCCTCGGGTCAAAATATTCACCTGCAAGAAACCACTTTCTTCTCCCCGTTATATCTTGCACGTGGTTACATACTTTCACCCGAAACCCTGGTTTCCCGACAGTGTTGAATTAATAAAGAAATATTTCTCTCTCTCTCTCTGTCACCCTGTCAGAGAGCTATCTCTCTGTTTTCTCATAAATAAATAAATCTGCAAGTGCTACGAGCCAGCGGGCGATACTGCAGAGTTGACTCCCAGAGGTCGAAATTTCCCTGAGCGTGGTCTGTGGTTCGTGGTAATTTGTGTGGAGGAGGAGGAGATGATGGATGGTGGCGCTACGAATTTGTGTGGAGGTGACATGTCTCCCGAGTAGAAATCGTTACGTTGAATTATGCAGTAATCGAGAATAGGTCGATGCATATTTTATATATTTTGTATTGTTTTTTTTGGCATAATCGTGCAGAAAATTTGTAATTTTTGCAGAACCGTATGGGTACATTTTTTTGTGCAAAAATAGGTGTACGTAACGTTTTTTTTCTGGAGAAAGTTGGGCCTAATTTCTGCCGAAACTGGGACAGGAATTTTCGGGCTTAATTTCCACTTGAAAAATTGCTTTCTGCTCTTTATAAAATTTTCCCAGAAAAATTGGGCCAAATTTTGTATAACCAATTTTGCAAGTTTTCAAAATTTTACTCTACGTGATGGGTCCTCTGATCCGTATGAAAATCAACCTATGTTACATAAAATTGACACAATTATTTGCAACAAATATCCCACATGTTAAAAATTTCTCCAAAGAAATTTTGCAAATTTGTGCATTTTTTGTTCCCATGAAGTAGTTGTTTGTTAAGAAAAATTGAAAAAAAAATTATAAACTAGTAAAGAATTTGGCATATGTGTGTGGAAAAGTTTGCCAATTTTAAGCCAATTTTCTTAAAAAATGTTGTATATATTTGATTGCAGTACAATATAAAGAAGAAGGAGGAGGTAGCGGAGGCGGCCGCCGCGGACGCCGTGCCAGACAATCCACTCATGCGAAAAAAGAAGACTCCCGAAGAGCTCGCCAAAGAGACAGAGGAAGCCGACGAAGATGAGCTCACAAGTATTATCACCACTTCATTATCCATAATGATAAGCGCACTCATGACTATCGAAATAAAACCATTATAAATTTCGAAGCAAAAATCCATACAAAAATATTACAAAATTTCGCAAAAAGAAAACGTTCAACAAACAAAACCTTGCCAAGCTTAGTATTTTGATATCCTCAATTTGCAAAGATTGAAATGAAAACATGCGTAAAAATTTAGAAAGAAAATCTTGCATGCAAATGTTGCAAATTTCTTTAAACAATGTTTAACCTTGTCAAATTTAGTAGTTTGATATCCTCAATTTCAAAATGTCGAACTAAAAGCATGGATAAATTTTGGGAACAAAAAATCCCGCTAAATGTTAGAAATTTTCGAAAAAATAATATCGCCATGCCAAGTATTTCGATATTCTCAATTTACAAAAATTGAAATAAAAACATGGGTGAAAATCTGGGAAGAAAAATCCCTATTGTAAAATGTTGAAAATTTCCTTAAAAAACAATTTGTTTTGTCGTGAGTATGCCGAAATTTTTATAAAACCCGACTAATTTTTGTTTCAAATTTTTTTCAGAATTGAAAAACACGCTGGAAACCCACGTAAACGAGATCAAGACGCAAATCGAGAGTAAATGCGTGTTGCAGTGATCTCCTCCACGCCATCGGATTCATTCCACTCGCCCCTCCAACCATTTCAAATTCATCAACGTCAACAATCTACTAGAGATATTAATACTTAAAAAATAGGACAACATCAAGAAAACAAGAAAGAAGCAAGGAAGAAGCAGAAACAGTATATATAAAAATCTATATGTAAAATAGCGATTTAATAATAATAATAATTTAGCAAAAAAAGAAGACAGGACAGCGGAAGGGGCGGTCGCGGGAAGGAAGAAAAATTTAAAATTTGTCCGGCACGAAGAACTAATTGGGGAGGAGAATATGGTGGTGAAACTATGCAATTAAATAGCCTGAGCCAACAATTTTTTCATAAGTATGTGTATAAATAGGTAAAGGTAAATAGGGTAGGGTAATATTAGGGGGTGTCAAGGTTACGGATTATGGGGATTATGAATGATAAGCCTGGATGATAAGGTGGGAGGTTAATATCATTGTTTTATTTCGGGAAAATCTGTTAAGAAGGCATATACGTTGAAAAAATCTCATAACTAAAAGACAGAGACGACGGTTGCGTCTCCTTGTGTGCCGAGAGATTTTTTGCTAATGAGGGGGGGCGGGGCGAAGAGAGCAGCTGATTTTCATGTAAACAATGCAGGCAGTTGCATGTAAAAAGTTGCTTTGGGTTTTGAGAGTGACCGTTCCCACTCTCCAAACGGGGCATCGCGAACCAGAAAAGGAGAAAAATTTCGACTAAAACTTCTAATTTGCAGCTAATACAAAATGGATTGATTTCGTTTTGGTGGCAATAAATTCCCAAGTTTGTGCTTTACAATTGCCATGTTGCATAAATTCCATAATAAATCTCAGAGAAAAGTATTGAACTGAAACATGGACTCATATCATGTTTCAGTCCAATACTTTTCACCGAGATTTATTATGGAATTTATGCAACATGGCAATTGTAAAGCACAAACTTGGGAATTTATTGCCACCAAAACGAAATCAATCCATTTTGTATTAGCTGCAAATTAGAAGTCTTAGTGACAAAAATCATTTACATTACTGGTAAGTGGCGAGGAGAAAAAGTCAACTCGCTCACTAGGATGCCCAGACTGTTCCCTAACTCAAACTTTAATTGTAGCCATTGTGTGTCATAATTTTAAATTTTGGCGGAAAATAGTCAAGTAAAATCATAAAGAATGGGGCATTCTGAGAATTCCGGTGATAGGCGTGGCTCTGGTGATCGTGATTTTTGCCTGGGTGTTTGTGGTGGTAGCACGTGGCGGCTTATTTCCATAAGGTGACGTATTATCACCATCTTGTAAAGTTACATATAAATCACCGGTCGGTGATAATCCGGTGATAAAATTTCTTAGAGTGTTTTTAAAGGATAGTTTTATTGTGAGAAAATTAATTTAATTTTGAATTCTGGCGGGGATATAACCAGGCATCTATTATAATCTACATAATTGATAACCTTGACAACCCCTATTATTAATTATTTAATTAAATAACGTTCCGTTTTTGTGAGAAAAAGATGATAAGCATATATCACTAGATAAGTGTTATATTTTATGAGAAGCGTTCCTTAACTGAGTGGACGGAGCGCGCCTTTTAATTCCTTCTCTATTAGTTAGTTAGTTAGTTCAAATGGTAATGGCGGTACGGCGGGATTTTTAAAAAACAAAAGTTGTGACGATGACCACTACACGGCGTCTCTCTCTCAATTAAATTCAAACATTTCCCGCGCTGTCTACCGCCACAGAAGAAGAAGACTCGAGTACAACGAATATTTTCATGTCATACAAGTATTTTTCCGTTCATGTTAGTTAAATATTTAAATGAGGGGCGGGAGAAAAATGCTAGGTTTACGCGTAATTTATGTAAATCTCTGTGTGTCTCTCTCTCTTTTTAAGCAGGGAGAAATTATACGACCAAGCTTTACATTTTATAAGGCGTTATAAACATATATCATAAAAAAGAAAGTGACGAAAATGTGTTACGTAATATGTAAATATTTCCTACAAAGACACAAATTGCGTGCAATCTTCTTCTTCTTCTTCTTCTGAAGCACTGTTCTCTCCTGAGTATTGTTCGAATTTCGAAAATTAGAGGTATATTCCCGCCAAAAATTAAAAGCGATAACCTTTTACGACGAGTATGAGGAGAACTTTTTTCCTTTATGGGATCATGTTCTGCCCTCGTTTCAGCGTTTGATTTCTTGAAATGCCACGTGGCCACCTAGCGGGATGTGAGGGAACGTTCATAAAATGTGTAACTTAATGGGGGGAGGGGTTGTTAAGAGGGGGGTGTAATTTGGGGAGGGAGGTGTAAAAATGGGGGGGGAATGTTGCGTATTTTATGAGGTTCACCCTCTGTATTAGGCTTAATTGAAGGAATTATCGGCTAGATGGAGCTAAATTTTTTAAATTTCTTAAAAAAATTGAGTCTGTAAAAAGAAATGATTTTATGCACGTGGTTTTTTGGAGACGAGCAATAACCCGACAAAGAGTGACATTAACAACTGTACGAAAGACGTAAAAAAATCTAGACCAAAAACGTGACCCAGTTTTACAGCGGGATTTAAGATTTATGTCGCTTTTGTCGGAACGAGGATAAAATGATTTTTTAGTAGGGATCGTCCCCATTTATCCAGTTCCGCGGCTCCTGGCGCCGCACGTGGATCCAACTTTCTCTTTTTATCGTCAAGTTTTGTATCCTCGTAAACTTTCTTTTGTTTGTTTCTTCTTCAGATTTATTTATTTATTTATTATGCCGAAAAGTTAGCAAGCTTATCATCATTCTTTTGTTGTTTATTTGTAGAAATGATGATTTTTGGGAAACAAATTTCCCACGGTGAAAACTTACTTATTTTGAAAGATAATAATCGTAAAAGTTTTTTTTCTGTGGTGAAAGTGACTCGTCATCCATCATTCTGTCAGAGCTCATCTCTGCTGGCGAGGGGAAAGCGAAATAATTTTCGTGTTCACGTAATATTATTCTGTACGGTGGTGAAATCAGGAAGGAAATGAATAATACGACTCATTCTTCAATGTCCAACTTTCACCCGACATGGAATTAAGTGAGAGAGCCTTACGGATTTTCAGAGGGTTTCGTTGTGAAGAAAAAAACACGTGGAATTGATTTTTGGGCAGAAATAAGCGCCACCTAGGGAAAAATGTCTGCAATTTTAAAAAAACACGTGTATGAACAACCACGTGAATCAACCATGTGAAAAAACCACGTGTATGCGCAACCACGTGAAAAAACCACGTGTATGAACCACATGTATGAACAACCACGTGAATCAACCACGCGAAAAAAGCCACGGTTTTTTTAACGCCATCTAGCGGAAAATCACTGCAATTAAGTCTAACGTCCAAGAAATCAATCACTGTCTACAGTAGGATTATTCCTGCGTGTCACCTCATTTATGTAAATATTTCCATGTTAAATGATACGTCGAAATATGTAAATTAGGTGACCCACAAGAATACTTCTACCGTACTTTCCTCGCTTTTTTTCGAGTGAGAGAGTAGCATTTCTTCATCTTGTTCTCTATGTCCCGCTGCTAACGTTATTTCGACCCCACGGATTTTTTTACCAAAAAATTCAAATTTTCTCCTCCCGCCACGAAAAAATAATTTAAAAATAAATAATTAACGAAAGTCAGTGTGTTCTCGAACAGTGCAGCAGTAGCTCTAAATAAATAAATAGCTCGTCACTCATCATCATCTTGTGCATGTAATTACTGAAAAAGTTCACTTCATAAAAATCCCATGGGGACAAAATCCCCCCCCCCTTTTTTTCCCCCACGGTGTCGTATCTATCTATAAATAGAATACTGTGTAAAAAAAGAAATACAATGTAATAACAAGAAAGACGCATGTTAATAAAAAGTCCATAATTACGTTAAGTAAAAAAACTAGACAGAAAAAGTATAACACTTAAATAATTAAGTAAGCAATTAATTAAGTAATTAGCCGAGTTAATTAATTAAGATTAAAAAAATAAGTATGTAGTCGAAAGATGTTAAATATTATAACCACCTTGTTAAAAAAAAAATATTACCATAATTTTAATGGCACCACCACCACCACTAATTTTTCGTAGTAGCTCAAAAAAAGATGTATAAATAACTACATATTTCGGTCGTATTTGTAGTGAAATGAGGGTACGAACGATTGGTGAAAAAAATTACAGATTTATTCCAAAAAAGATAAGTGTCGTCCCGCAAACAACACAGGTCCGCGACTAAGCGCGCGCTGATGGTTATTATAATTGCCTTGTACATACGAAGAATCAGATTTTTCTGTGGAAATTTTCTCTCTATGTCTCTGTCTTTAAGTAGGAATTTATTAGTTGTAGCAGCGTAAAATTTCTGGAGAAGGGATGTATTTCAGGGGATGGTCTCGGATTTTGGGGAATTTAATTTTAATTAGTATGAAATTTGGGAAAGATACGATCTCCCAATGGGCACGTTTGGTAGGGATAGCTGCACCCCAAGAGGAGAAAACGCGCCGTAAAAGTCGACAAATTTTACCGTTTTCAAATTTACCGCGCCTTTTCTCCTCTTCGGATGCAAATATCTCGGCGAAACGTATGTACCCATTGGGATATCGTGTATTTCGCAAATTTCATGCGAATTAAATCCGTCATCGATTGAGACTATATAGTTTGTCCAAAATCCGACAGCATCCACTGGGAAGTGTCCCTTCTAAGGAAATTTTCCTCATTATGATGACACTTATTTGAGAATGATAGTCTTATTATTATCGTTATTCTTACGACACGTGTACATGAACAGTTTGTAGTAAGTTTGTTGTGGAAACTAGTACTGTGACCAACTATTTACTGTTGATTGTGTACCAATTAATGAGAAGAAGCTATTATATAGTTGTAATATTTAGAAAAATGAAGCACTGCCTGCGAGTCATCTGTACAAAGGGGACTGGACTTCCCGTAAATCCCGGAAAAAAATAAGCCACTAAAAAATTATTCCAATCCAAGATCCATCACTACTGGTTGAGTATGAGATCTAAATAAAAAAATCACCTTGGAGGGGCCGTCCATATATTACGTTAGCAAAAAATGGGAATTTTTAGTCACCATCTACGAAACCACCCTTTCCCTATCCTGCTATTGTGTTAAGCGTAACACGGGTAAGATAGCCCAACGACCCAATTTTTTGATGACGTAATATATGGACGTTCCCTAAACTTTTCTCCACCTTACCCGTCCTTTTTTGTGGCGTGAGGGTGCACATGGCTCGCAGGGGTGACACACATACACACGCATGTTGATAAAATGTTACATGATTTGCCTTATATAATCGAACGAAAAAAAATCTTGTTTCTTTTTTTACTAATTGCCACTCAATGACGAGGCAATGAATGAAGTGAATGAAGGGATTTTTTATTGACAAAAATTTGAAGGGAGGGGACGTTGTGCATGGGGAAGTAAAAAAAAAGAGCCATCTGGGGACATAATTCGGACCGGAATGATAAGTTATAAAAGACGATGGGAGGAGGAGGAGAAAGGATAGGGGACACGTGGCAGGCGGGGGGTTTTATGGGAGTTCATGGATTTTCATGGAATTGCATGGAATTAGATGACCTTCATATAATTTCAAGGAATTTCACCTATTTTCATGGAATTTCACCGATTTTCATGGAATTTCACCGATTTTCATGGAATTTCACCGATTTTCATGGAGTTTGATAGATTTCCATGGATTTTCAAGGATTTTCATGGAATTGCATGGAATTAGATGACCTTCATATAATTTCAAGGAATTTCACCTATTTTCATGGAATTTCACCGATTTTCATGGAATTTCACCGATTTTCATGGAATTTCACCGATTTTCATGGAGTTTGATAGATTTCCATGGATTTTCAAGGATTTTCATGGAATTGCATGGAATTAGATGGCTTTCGATGGATTTTCGTGTAATTTGTAATTAATTTCATGGAATTTCATGTCTTTCCATGGATTTTCATGCCTGGAAATTTCCCGCCTGCTGCTGTCATACAATTAAAAAAATATGTATGTAAAGGCACACACACGATTAGTTTGATATTAAAAAAATAACTATGTTGGTGTTAACGGAGAAGTCGTTGTAAAATTATGTAAATGAGGGCCGAGAAGGTTGAGTGAGTGATAAAAAATTGTTCAGTGCTCGATGTCACAACGATGAATTGGTGCATGCCTTGGTTGATAAATTGGTTTATCAAAATAAATCACATGCTACAATTATGTATATATTTGTAAAGTATGATTATTCTTAGTGGGTGGCGGGTTTATTTAGCTCAGGATAAAAAAAATATTATTAAAGGCTACATACAATTCGTAATTATGAAAATGTGCAAATTTTTTTGGCATATTTTTTTGCGGAGTTGTTACTGCATTTTTGTTCTATCAAAATAGGCACCTGGATTAATATCAGATTCTTTTACATGTAATCATTGATACTAAATGCGTGGCATAAAATTACTATAAATAACTCCCCTCGGCATGGATAACTCTATTTTCAAAAAGTGCGAAAAGCACGTGGTCAATGTGAAAGAAAGCAACTTGCAAGAATTAAGGGGGAGAAAGTGGTTTCTTGCAGGTGAATATTTTGACCTGGGAGAAATGCAAGGTGGGAGAAACTGCGCACTGTCGCTGTAAATACTTCATACGGCGCGTGGCTAGATGGTACATGTTTCTTGCACTTTCTCCCAGTTTCTTGCACCTCGCATTTCTACCGTTTCTCACTTTAATGGGCAAGAAATGTGGCAAACGAAATATTGCAAAATTCATTCACATGTAAAATTCGCATATTAAGAAAAATTCAAATTATGGATGTTGGAATTTAAAAATTGATTCCATCAAAATCTGTGTGGAACACGTGGGTTGTTGTATCTTTATGGTATGAAAATTAAATTAAAAGTGTATGTGCTACGGATATGATTTTATGAAAATAGAATACGTAATGCCACAATTTTTGATTATGCATATTACACCCGAACAACGAGCAAAAAGTGAAAAAATTATGACTCAAGTTTCCAGAAAGTAACAAAAAATTAACATTTTATTTGTACATGTCATAGTACAGCATGCCACATTTTTTCATGTCACCATTCATTTCGTCTCCGTATTTTTCGTGGAACAGCGTGAAACAAAACATGGAAATCTTAACGACTAAAATTTGATAAGACACACGATGCACCTGGATTTGTAATGTATTGCACTTACAGCGTGTTTTCCCACTAATTAATTAATTACTTAATTAATTAATTACTATTTATACATACATATTTATATTTAATAGTTCAACCACTTAATTAAGCCTTGTATAAAATCAATCTGTCAAAAATTTGCACATTTTGCTGCAGAAGAGGCGTAGTCAAAAATGTAAATTTTTAAACAGTTGTTGCACAATTTCCCTGCATAACTTCGACAAATTTCTTTCCGAAACTTCCGAAACTGACAGAATTTTGCGTATATCAGGGAGAAAAAATTCTACGCATTAGTTAACGCAAATATTTTTGCCTGTCTGTTCTGCAGAAAAATTTGTCAGTTTTTGACACCTCGGTTTTCGTACGGGTACAGATTTACAAATTATGATTTAATTTCTATTAACTAATTATAGGATGGAGACGGGAAAAAAGGAGATCATCTCATTTTTTTAACACAGATTTTTTTTTACCCATCATCTTTACGTGGTAGATTAGACTGGATTAAAAACATGCGTGTAATTATTGTTTAATTCCTTCATTAACTAAATATGCGTATCGTTAACGTAGTAAATTGGTTAACTAACTAATCAGCAAAGCAATTAGCGCTCATGCTACTAAATAATTTTCGGAAATGTCTCGCTACCTAAGAAATTTCGATTTTCTTAACGATTCTTACCATTTGACTATCACACTATTTTTCGAAATTTTATGAATTACACAGATTTGTGTCCTACTACAAATTCTTTTGAGTACGAAGGTATATTTTGGAAATTTTACGTTCCTCTGAATTTTACAATTTGAAAAATGTCCATTGGCTATGATATTTAAAAAAAATCCAGCATATAATTGGACACATTTTTCCAACTGATAATTTCCCATGTGAAAAGGGATTTTTAAAGTATGGGAATTTATCAAGTTGTAAAATCCCGGGGAACGTAAAATTTCCAAAATATCTCCGAAACAAAGAAAATTTATTGTAGTAGACAAATATGTGTAATTTGTAATATTTGGAAAACATAGCGCGGTAGTAGTCACGTGATAAAAAATTATTACATATCAAATGTATTTAATTTGGTAGCATGGAGGTTAATTTGAACATTTCGCTTAAAAAGTGGCCATCATGGGGTCATATTCTAGGGAAAATTGTGGTTTATTATTATTATGTTGGGAAGAGGCGGTTTGCAATAATTCGTCGCGTACACTTGTCCTCCGGTCGGCGGAGGGTGTTCGTCCCACGTGCTCGACACGTGTCTCGGTCTGATGCGAGTACGACCTCGAGTGTGGATTGATGTCGGCGAAATCTCTGAAATTGGCGAAAAAGTCGCCTCCCCCGCCGCCCATGTGGTAAGGGGACGAGTGACCGTTATTCTGCGAGTAGTAACCGTCATCCTCGTCTCGATAGGGGGAAGCTGGAGGGGAACAAAGAGAAAATTTTGTAAAAGTTGATTAGCGAAGTTGTACGGATTTTGCAAAAATTTGCAAAAATTTGGAAATAAAATTTAAATATAAATGTTAGTACGAATTTTATGTAAGTTGATCTGTGAAATTGATTGGACCAATTTCGCAAAAAAATTGCGTAATTTCGAAACTGAACAGGAGAAAGAGAGAATTTTATAAAATTGGATATGTGAAACTCGTTACCGATTTTGCAAAAATTTGAAAAATTTTGGGATAGAAGTTGAAGAAAAACATGGGTATAAATAATTTTGTAAAAAAATTGATACATGAAATTGGTCAAGAATTGACGTAATTTTGAACAGAATTTGATTTAAAATAAGGGTACGAAATTTCTCACTTTTATGAAAAAAAATTCTACATATATTTTTATTCTAATTCCGAAATTACGCAGATTTAAAAAATTTTTAATTGATTGAGATGAAATTTGAAACTTGACAATGAAATAATAAATTTTAAATTTTACAAAAATCTGAGTAATTTTGAAATAAAAAACTATGAGTACGAATTTTTTGACTAGTTTTCACACCAAACTTTTAGGGAAAACAGGTAGGAATAATTTGAAATTTAAATACAAAATTTGTCCCAATTTTCAAAAATTTGCGAATATATTCGCGAACTCTTTACCTGCTTGATGATGTCCATGATGATGATACGAGGGCCCTTCGTCATCCTCCCCGTAATACGTTCCGCCCCGAATGACCTCAAAATTCCCGGATCCTAAGAGATTATTGTCATGCTCGCGGTACCGGTCGTGCCCATGCGACGCGGCCGAAGACGGCCCCCTGTTCGAGAGGGGGGATGAAATCCCGCCAAATTTGAACGGCGCATTCGACGAGGGATGATACCGCGATGGGGCGCGATTATTGTTAGAGGAAGGGCCCGGAAAAAGTGGGGCGCGCCCGATCCCACTCCCGCCAATGCCGCCCGTGATGGGGGAAGCTGAGAGGGCATTGGACAACCCGAAGGGGGACAACCCGGTCAAATAAGGGGACGGAAAGGACGGGAAGAAACGCTGCTCTTCGGAATTGGAATCGTGAAATGAAACGTTACTCGAAGTCGGAGAGTTGGGGGAACGTTGCTGAAAAGATATCAAAAAGTTGAAAATTTTCAAAATTTTCGAAAATTTGAAGTGGTGTGTAAGATATGGTTTTTTATGAAAATATTTACAGTGAGGTAATTCACGCCGGCCTTGGTAACATTGTAAAATCCATAAATTCCATAAACTTACAAGCTTTTACCAAATTTAACTAAATATTTCTAACGAAAATTAGTTTACAAAGTTTTGTAAACGTGCAGGACGTGTTTTTAGCGGTGTCAAGATACTGTTTTTTTACAATTAAAAAATGTAATTGTGAAGCAATTCACGCAGGCCTTTGCAACTTTGTAAAATGTGTAAAATAATTTGACAAACTTTCATAAAATAAGAATACTTCCATGTAATGAGAAAGTTTAGAACAATTTGTGAACTAATTTTCCTTCAAAATGTTTGCAAAATTTTGCAAATGTTCGTAAGTTTACAGGATTTTACAAAGTTACCAAGCCCTGTGTGAATTGCCTCACCGTATTTATTTAAATCGTGAAAACACTGTAGTTTGATATGCAGCCTAAATCTAAATAATCTGAGTAAACTTGCAAAAATTTGTGCACAAATTTTCCTTCAAACTATTTGTAAAGCTTGTAAAATTTGCAAGTTTACAATGTTACCAAGACCTGCGTTAATTGTCTTACTAAATTTTTTGAAATTGTATGTTTTTTCAAAATTTTGAACCAACCTCGACACTCTCCTCGCCATGTTTTTTATAACGATCGAACCGAATGTAGGACGCGGATGAGGAGGGAGAGGAGGAGGCTTGTTGTTGCTGTTGTGGGGGCGGAGGAGCTGGTTGCCATAGTGATTCGATGTTATCCAGCCCGTCGGCTAGCATGTCGTCATCGTCGTCGTTGCGGGTGCTGCGACGTGTCCGGTGGTGCTGCTGGTTGGAGTTATCATCATCTTCAACTGGGTAAGGTTGCACTTCCGGGATGTTGGAGTTATCGGCGAGGTCGTCGTCATCATTCGGATAACCGCGTCCTTCCGGCTGGAGGAAAATTGAACGATTATTATTTATTATTAACTCATGTAAAATTATGATCTGGAATTAAATAAGTTTTCATGACGTTGAGTGTGTGTATGTGTAAATTTAAAAAATTGGCAAAAGTTATTGCAAAAAATTTAGCAGAAATCGGCAATATTTCGTGTAAAGCTTTAAGGGGATTTTTTGTTCGGAAATTTACCCATGTTTGTATTTTACAAAATTATTTTGCGCACTATTTGCTGCATGTATTATTAATAACAAAATTTCTGCAAATCTAGCATAATTTGTTAATCAGGTGAAAAATTTCCAAAATTTCTAAATAATTTTGCCGTAAAATATTTACAATATTTCGCCACATATACTAAATTTGCAAATATGTCGGCATGTTTTTATTTTGCAAGATTATTTGCTAAATGCATCATTTACAAAGAGCGGATTAACGACAACCTTGCAAGTCTCGAACAAGTTGTAAAATTTTGAGAAATTTGCAAAATTTTGAGAAATTTGCAAAATTTCGTAAGAAAGAATTTGCTGGAAAGTGTAAAATCTGTGGACAAATTTTGAAAAAATTTGCAATAAAAAATATGCAAATAGGAATGCATTGTTTATTTTGTAAATTATTTTGCAAAGAATTAGTTAAATGAGGCGTATTTCGATAAGTACGCGAAATGTTTCTTATTTTGCAATTATTGAATTTAAGTACACTGCAAAAAGTTAATCTTTTCTACTTTGCTAAGACATAAGTCAAGGTTGGCCGGATTTGCGAGATTGCTAATTTGTGCAAAAAAATTATGTATAACTTGTAACTTTGTTTGTTCAGTGGTGCATCTCTAAGACAGATTAAAAAGTAATTGAGTAAGTGCAGCCAAGTTTTGTTTTTTTGCAGGCTGATTGACTTAGGAAAAAGTAGGAAATTAAATTAACACGAAGAAAAGGAAGGAAGGAAGGAAATGCAATCAGGAATAAATGCATAAGAAAAAAATTGTGTGCTTGTAGACACCGCAAAAGACGGTGGATGAATTTGTGGCATGAAAATTATAAGGTTCCTCAAAAACACTCAACGTGCTTTTTTGGAAAATTCGTTTTGCAAAAGGTTGTTTTTGTGTGTTAAATGTGGTAATTAACATATTTAAGTATAGCTTAATTAAAATATTTAATTCGGAAGCTTTTTATGTGTAGTCCCATTTGCAGAAACAGAAATTTAAAAAGGACAGAAGCACGTGCCGATTTTTGACAAAAAACACGTGGTAAATTGTTGAATAAAAACACGTGTTAATTTGTCACATGGAAATCGCGTGTTGATTTGTGGGATAAAAACACGTGCTGATTTGATACATAGAAAAGCACATGCCGCTTTGTGACACAAAAGAAGACACGTGGGGATTCACAATCACCACGTGTTTTGAGATCTCAAATCACTGACCACGTGTTTTCTGTATCTATATAAAAAACACGTGACGATTTACATGTGCCAATTTGCAACACAAAAAACACCGTGTTGGAAACCCTAGCTGTAAACCGCAGATTTGCACTATCGATTTGCGACAGACATATAAAACACGTGCCATTTGTCCCATTCAAAAAACCATCCAGGAAATTATGTCATAAAAACCACACTATCAGAAACCCTGGCTGCAAAAAAAATGTAAACCGCAGATTTGTGGTTTGCTTACAACTGGGTGCAAGCAAAGAATTAATTAGCTTCTACTCGCCAAATTGGAAAAAAGTGACATTGCAATTTGTTTCCGGGGCTGAATGAGCTTATAATTGTCTCTTCTGGCTGGCTTAACTCGACATGCATAAATTTGCCACGTGCAAAAACCAAGTGTGAAATGTGAAACTTTTTGTAGGTGGATTTTACCTTAGGTTTTTTTTGTCTGGTGAATTTTTTTGCTTGAATTGTTTGTTACATGTGACGAGTTACGTAAGTAAGTAAATTGTATGTTACAGATATTTTAAAGGTTATTTAATTCATGCATGTAAATGAGACGGACATGTGGGTTTTAAAAATTTTCGAAAATTTCTTGGGTCAAAATTTGTGTGTGTGTTTGGAATAAAGGATACAAATTTTTAAACATGTATTTCTAGATTTGCATACTTGTACAAATATTAACGAGGCAATTCACGCAGGTCTTGGTAACATTGTAAATTCCGTAAATTCCGTAAACTTTTACAAAACTTTACAAACTTTTAGAAATAATTTGGAAGGAAAATTAGCATAGAATTTTTTTGTTCAATATTTTAGACGAAAACATTTTAAATTTTAAATTTATTTTAAAATTTAAAACACGATTTGAAAATTGATATCTTTAGTTAACCCTTTAAACTGTAACGACGACAATTGTCGTTTTATAAGAAATGGTTTAATTCGGGAGTACGACAAAAGTCGTCCTGAAAAACCGTGGTCATGGCGCGGAAGGAAGACAATTGTCGTTTCTACGAGGTCATTGATTTTCACTATTTTCTCTCCGCGACCTAAAATTTATTGAAATTTTGAGGGATTTCTCCTATGCCAACACAATGCTAAATTTGAAGATTTGCTTCCCCAAAATTTTGATATTTCCCTATACAACTCAATGTTAAATTTTTGATTTTTCAGTTTTTCGAGTTTTATTAAAAACTCCTGAATTTCTCCTCCCGCGCCATGACCACAACATACCTATAGTGTCCCCGATTTAATGCATTTTCTTGTCGTTAATCATACACGTTAAAGGGTTAATAAATATTTCCGCATATTTTTTTATAAATTGATAAATTCCTCTAAAATTTATTGGCTAATATTTCCTGGAAAATTTGTCAAGTAAAATTTGATATAATGAAAAAAAATTGAAAATTCTAAAAAAATCTATAAATGTACTTTTTTTTAATAATCATTACTTTAGTTTCGCTTCTACTTTTTAAAACGTGACGTAACGAAACAGAAATAACGGAAATTACATAAGTGAGTCAGTCAGCAGATAGATCTTTATGTGTGTTAGTGAGTAAGTAAATATTGCAAAAATTGGGAATGAAGTCCGTGTCGAATCATCTGCTGAATTACTTTTCTGCAGATTTTCTTTTGTGCAAATATTGTACATAAGTCGCAACTCGATCTGCACGCTCGTGTAGCAAATCTGCTTACTTATGTGTGTCAGTTACGTTGTGTGAGCAGAGGGCGGATATGTATTTAGGAAAAATTTGTGAAATATGTATTTAATATTTATCTGAAAAAAATATTTACGAAATATTTTGGGAAACAATTGAAAAAAACAATGCAAAATATTTACGAAATATGTACGAAATATGTGTGTAAATTATTTTGCAAAAAACGGCGAATAAAAAATCTAAAATACCAAAATGCTATATAAAAATAAGCATTTTTGGAAAATTTTAGTTTTTGAATGTAATGCTGTAGATTTCTTTGAGCAAAAAATCGTCTCTCACCATCGTTTAATCGCTGAAATATTTGCAAAAATTATAAGTATCAAATATAATATGTCAAAGATTTCCGTATTTTAAAAATAATACCGGAAATATTTACATTTAAAAATCTAGAAATATGTAAAAACATTTTGAAATTTTCATGATCTATAGAGTTAGATCAGGAAATGTAAAAGTTGAAAATGAATACATATCCGACCTCTGATAATAAGCGCTGATGATATAATAATAAATGTGTATACATCGAGACTAAAGGATTTTCCATGCTCTCTCTCAATTTGGCACTCAATTGGCACACATCAGCTTAACACGCACGGAAAGAAATATCAACTTAACTGAATGAATTATGTTTAAGGATTATGTATTTGTGCAGGAGGAAATTATTAACTTCTAAAATTGTGTGCAACTGCAATTTTTATTGGACAGATTTCCGTAAGAAAATCGACCTTGCTAAAATTTGCACAGTTTTCTAGTGCACAATTTTCCAGAACTATGCATAAAAATTTAAGGATATGAATTTTAGCCAAAATGTGCAGCTACTTGTATGTTCTCGTCAGGTCGATTTTTTCATACGTATATTCTTACAATTACAAAAAATCCTATGTCAAATTTCCAAAAAAACGTGTATACCACGTGGAAAAAAGCGTGTTTTTAATGCAGGATTTTGTTTGTGGTGTTGTAACTCGTATGAAAATCGACCTTGATAAATTGGTGCATGATTTTTTGGCAAAATCTTGTAACTTTATGTAAGTTTAAAAATGACCTAAATGTCGATTTCCGTACGGGTAGCAAATTCTGCATGATTTTAGATTTGGAAAATCTCCCAAATTTCCTAAGAAATTTACACCATGTGCAAAAAGCGTTTAATGTGGTGTCATACCGAGTTATTTAAATTGATTACATTTTGTTTGGCTTTAGTCGTATCGTCCGGAGCGTCACTTTGTCGACGTTGACGTCCACGTGTACGAGGCTTCGATGTGTCATTGTCATTGGTCATTTCCGGTCTGTTTTTAGTCGGCGGAAGTGGAGGAGGTTTTTTCGATCCTTCGTCCTTCTTAACGTGTTTTTGGCGCAGGGTGGTGACCGTCTTTCGCTTGGATGAGGACGGTTGTACCAAGTTTGAATTTTCGCGCTTAAAATTAGGGTGTGGCAGGGAATCTTCGTCCTCGTGGTCATCAATTTCCACGTGGACCGGATTAAATTCTGGTTGGGAATGTTCTTGTTGTTTTTGTTGCTCGAGTTGTTTTTTCTTCTGGGCGAGTTCGACGTCTGGTGAGGGGGCGTAGAAGACGGGGGGACCTTGACCCTTACTTATGGGGGTGTAGGAGGTGGGGGGAATGTTGTGACCTCCAGCGACCTCGTAAGGAATGGGGTGATCGGATTGATGGTGGTGCGGGTGGTGGTGGTGAGGGGTAAGTTTGGACATTTTGAGGACGATGGGATGATTCGGGGTGGATAGGTGGTGGGGGTGGGTGACCTTCTGACCTTGAGGGTGAAATTGGTTTGGGTGTGGGTGAGGGTGAGGGTGATGGTTGACCTTTTGACCTGGATGGAAGAATTCTTCGTCGTGAAATTGGTTCGGGTGGGGAGGAGGGTGGTTGACCTTTTGACCTGGATGGCCGTGATATTCGTCTGGAAAATGATTTGGGGGATGGGGACGGGGGTGATGGTTAACCTTTTGACCTGGGTGGTCATGGAATTCGTCATTAAATTGGTTGGGGGGATGGGGGTGGGGATGGTGGTTGACCTTTTGGCCTTGAAATTCGTCATGAAATTGGTTTGGGGGATGGGGACGGGGATGATGGTCGACCTTTTGACCTGGGTGGTCATGGAATTCGTCATTAAATTGGTTGGGGGGATGGGGGTGGGGATGGTGGTTGACCTTTTGGCCTTGAAATTCGTCATGAAATTGGTTGGGGGATGGGGGTGGGGATGGTGGTTGACCTTTTGGCCTTGAAATTCGTCATGAAATTGGTTTGGGGGATGGGGACGGGGATGATGGTCGACCTTTTGACCTGGGTGGTCATGGAATTCGTCATTAAATTGGTTGGGGGGATGGGGGTGGGGATGGTGGTTGACCTTTTGGCCTTGAAATTCGTCATGAAATTGGTTTGGGGGATGGGGACGGGGATGATGGTCGACCTTTTGACCCTGGTTATGAAATTGGTTTGGGTGGAAACCAGATTGTTGGTGGGGATGATGACTTGGTGCGAATGGGGCATTTTTGCCCCCTCCGTGGGGTGGAGTGTGTCGTGGTCGATTTTTACGAGGATTATTTTTTGGTGGTCCCCCAAAATTTGCGAACTTGTCGCCGAAAGGGGGATGTCTGTGGGGAAAGTCGGGTTCTGTGTGTTCCTATTTAAATAAAGTCAGAGAGTGTTGCCTGTTAAAAAGTATGTTTTAAGTCTCGTCATTTTTTTGAAAAAGTTTTGAAAAAGGTATGAAAATTTGTATGAACTTAGTCTGAATTTATATGAGATGAAAATTTTGTATGAAAATGTGTCGGAAAAATTTTGTATGAAAATGTGTCTTTAGCAAAATTTAAAAAATAGTTCAGAAACTTGACAAATTGAATTTAGTCCAGTCGAAAGAAAAATAAAATGAGATAGCAATTTGTATGAAAATTTGTCGAAATTTAGCAACAATTTTCAATTAGATCAAAATTAATATGAAAAATTGATGAAATTGAATTTGTTCAATTCGAAGTATGAACTGGGATGAAAATTTAGATGAAAATGTGTAAACTTAATAAAATTCCATTATAAGATGATAAATAGTTATAAAAAATTGGCGAATTTGAATTTATTTCATGCAAAATAATGAAACGGGATGCAAATTTAAATGAAAATGTACCGGAAATGGAGTGCTTACCTGTTCGTTATAATAAGGGTTTGGACCCTCGTTGTAGTTGTCGTTGGTGGGAGGCCGTCTCTGGAAGTAGGGTCGTCTCCCCTGTGGGGATTGTGGGGGTGGTCGGCCCAGAAATTGGGGTGGTGGGGGACCAAATCTGGGTCCTTCAGCGTCATTATATTCAAACTGTGGGGGTGGTGGCCTGTAATGAGAACACGTGGGTGTATAATTAGCATAAAGTTGTGTACGTAAGTAACACGTGGATACATATATAATTAGTATAAAACTATATCGAGAGCACGTGGACACAGATAATTAGTGTAAAGCTGTATCAAGAACACGTGGATGCATAATTTGTATGAAGTTATGTAGTGAACACGTGGCCGCATACTTGATTAACATAAATCTGTATCGTGAACACGTGGATAATTATAAAATATGCAAATTATGTGCAAATCCGAATTTACCTTCGGCCTGGACCTGGACCTCCTCCTCCACCTCCGTTACGCAGCTGGTTTCTGGAAGAGGAGGCTTCAGTTTGTTGGAAATGAGCCTGAATTTCGTCAAAAGATGGGAATCCTTTAGGCGGAGCGATATCTTGGTGGCGCATAAAACCTACGTTGTCATTATTACGGTGACCGTCTGAAATCATAAAGACACGATTAAAGCTTACTTGGGATTTTTATTTGTAGAACAAATTTTAGGAAATATTTTCATGCTAAATTTCCATGCTAAATTTTCATGTAATTATTTCCATTAAAAATTTTCATGCAGCATTTTACGTATCATTTATGACGGAGAACCATAATTTTTTTTTCGAAATTTATATATAACAAATTTTATAATTTGTGAGAAATATTTGCATGCAATATTTTCATGCAGCATTTCATTCCCGTCGAAGTCACAATGTCGGATTGCGACAAAAAATCGGTTGTGAGGGCATTTATGGCGTGCCGTTTTTGTCCCTTATTAAAATGTCTGGCCTCACTTTATACATATAAATAATAAATGGCGAAAAAGGCTGTTTAATGTTATGTATGCAAAAATCTTGACATAATAATAGCATCGTTAACAATAATGGCGACAAAATGGGCTGTGAAATGGATATGTGGTGGTGGCGGTGGTGACCTTAATTTTATTACATATCCACAAACATACAGACCACCGTGTGACACAAATTCGTGGCGTTATAACATTTAAAAAATTGTGATAAAATGTGAACATGACCCAAATGAGTCCACACTCACTCACTTTCTACTTCCGTTTCCCTTCATTTGCTCCCAAACGTACGTATTTACATGCATATGCTAATGCGCTTGATGAGGCGTGCGTGTGTGTGGATCTGGCGTGAATTGCACTTTTTTAAGGAGGAATAATAAGCATAATAATAATAAGAAACAGGAATAATGCAAACGAGAGAGGTTTGACGATGACAAGACATAATTTTAATAGTGATTAAGCACCCAAAGCAGGATTTGCACCCAATTTTTCGCGAAAAAATATGTATGCACGTATGTAGCGGCATGATTGATTGGGTGTATGAATTTTGACAAAATTGATTGTAAAATTGATTACGGTTTTGTAATAGGTTATTTATTATTGTGTAATTTGTGGATATCGATGGGTGAGGAATATGCATGTACGAATTTGATTGACGGGGATGAATTTTTTTGGGGGTTATTTTTAACAAACTTTTTTGTCAGATTAATTTTCACGGGAAATTTAAGCCATAATTCGTCCAAATAATTTTATATGTACCTGATTGAGGCGCGTATTCATGATAAGGTGACGCGGCAGATAAATGTTGTCTTGATAAGGGGGGATTATTATGTCCGTCATTTTCGTAGTATTCGTTCTCCTCGGCGGGATTTGGTCTCCTGGAGAGGAAATGGAATTTTAGTATAAAAAAAACTTGCAAAATTTTGCAAAATTTTTGCAATATCTTTTTTTGCTTACTCTTCTTCATAAGCGGGGGTTGGCGTTCTTCTCGAATACGTTGGTCTTCTAGATTCTGACTCTGCTAATAATTCATCCCCGGTAGTACAATCTGGAAGTAAAAATATAGAAAATTTTGAAATCAAGGTAAATTTCGGACAAAAAAATTTGTCATATTTTTTTCTTGAAATTAGGGCAAATTTACAAAAAATTGTTGCCGACTAAACCAAACAAATAGTTAACTGACAGACAATGAGTCCTGACAAATGGGTAAGGATTGTGTCATAAAATAGGAAAAACATGATGTGATTAAGTAAGACTTGGATGGATTTTTTTGTAATAATAATGCAGAAAATATGCAATAATGCACAGACAGACCGGTTGTACGTATAGTACAAAAAGTGCAGTACTACGTGCCAGAGGGCGGATATGTATTTATGAAAAGTCGCAGAATTTTCGCAAAAATTGAATAATAAACGAATACTTTTTGAATTTCATGTTCTACGTTTTTCGTAGCTCAATTTCTTTTAGCAAGAAAATTTCTTCTCTCTGAAATTTTGTAAAATATATACACGTATTTTTGAAAACATGTGTAAAAGGTTTTCGTATTTTGGAAATAATAGCGGGAATGCTTAATGTCTAAAATATGTAAACATGTGTAAAAGTATTTTGAAAGTTTTGTGATCTACATATGTACACAAGTTAGGTAAAACACCGATCGAAAATAAATACATATCCGCCCTCTGGGTAGAAATTAGCTGTGTGCATATCTTATTTAAAATTAAGTGCAAATTGGAAATAAGTAGGCACGCTCTTGCTCCTTCCTAATTTGTCTTTCTCATAATTCAGGCCCTGCGGGGGACGGGGACCATTGCAAAAAAAAAAGAATTTGCAAAATTGCAGAGTTTGATAATAAAAAATTGCATATCTTATTTTTTTGCTGGGACAATAATGTCCCCTTAATTCCTTTATGTTCCGTGGCACGTGGCGATGACAATAATGCAAATAAATTGGCCAAAAGTCCGCACTTGTTATGGTCGTGATTCATTGTTTTGTTGAGTGCAAAATGGAGTGCACGGCGTTTCCTTGTCTGGCTGAAGAATACGAATTAATTACGAGATGTCCCATTTCTTCCACCCTTTTTTGTCCGGGATGATTATCTTAAGTAGCTTTTTGTTAGAGCCATATTGAAAATATTTCGTGTAATCAAAAAAATTATGAATAATTTTCATTTCCTGTAAATTTTTTGATATGCAGATTATGCAAAGTTAATGTAGGACCAGATGACTCATCAACACATTTTTAAATAATTTCTTCTATCTGGAAACTTATTTTAAAATTCTGGATGACGAATTTGTCCTCAGTGAGTTGATTGATTGAATGGCGTCGAGTTTTTTGAGTAAGTTTCGACGAGTTCCAATTTTTTGGAAGTTTTGGAAGTTTTTTTGGAAGCTTAAACTTTAGATCTCCTCCGCCAAAAAGTGTCAAAGTCTGGAGTGTATATTTTTTAATTAGCATCTCTGCTCTCCAGAATTTTAAAATAAATTCCCAGAGCTTAGAAATAATAATTAAAAATGTGCTGATTTTGACGATGAGTCATCGAGTTTATACGCAAAAATGTGTGCCAAAATATGTATTTATTAGAAATGATAGGCTACGAGGTTTATTCCTCTAATGACGGAGGAACGTAAAATTTCAAAAATTCATTCATAGCCAAGAGAATTTATAGTAGTAGACACTCGTATGCAAATTGTAATATTTCGAAAAATGTAATTTCGTAGGGAACCGAATATTTCCGGAAATTAACTGGTAACATGGACATCAAGTAAATTAATTTTTTAAGAAATTTTAGTCCTGACCAAATTTATTTTGCACACAAAATAAAGGACGATTCGTTCATCCCCCATATTTGTCACATACTTAATTTAAGAAGATCATTAAAGATTAACTGCCCACAAGTTCATAGAAATTAAACGGTTGTAAAATGCTTTAATGGTTTTTGTTTTGCACATATGTAAATTTGGCAGGGGAAGGAAAACCTATTGCGAATTTCATCTCCGGTTTAGTTTTTATCGCATCCGTCATCCGTTTGGATGGATGCATATTCATCAGGTCGCAGTAAAAAACCACTTTCATTTTTCATTTCTAATCCCATCCCACTGAATGAGATCATCATTCTTAAGTATGGGAAATGGTGGGCTAATAATTTACATAAATTATTATTATGGGTACAGAGGGTGGATATGTATTTATTGCAAAGTTTTTAATATGATGACGACGAATGGTCGAACTTTATCGGATTATCGTCTAACTCGCTTAGAGTACAAAAATTTCAAAATTTGTTTTTTTACATATTTCTCGGTTTTTAGGCAAATATTCCTGCTATTATTTCAAAAATATGTCAATCTTTTGGATATTTTTTTCAAGAATATGTATTTATTTGTAAATGTATATTTCAAAGATATGAATGAGACGAATTTTTTTTCCTGGAAGAAATTAAATCTAAAAAATCCAGGTAATTTCAAAAATAACAATTTTGTGAAAATTCTAACTTTTTCTCTACATATTTCACAAATAGTTTGGAATTTTTTCAAAAATTAATATATAAGCTTTGTGAATATTTTGACGATTTGAGGCCATTTAATTTGTTCAAAGAAATTTTACCTGTAAAAGTATTAATTTCAAAAATATAAATTTTATTAAAATTCATATTGTTATGTTTTTTGCACATATTTTGGCATTCTTCGCAAATATTAGAAACATATTTTAAGGATTCTTCGTAAATACATATCCGCCCTCTAATTATTATGTATGAATATTCATTTATTAACGACAACTTGAATAATACATGATTGAAACTGTGTCGTGCGAGTAGAATGAGATTATTTTTACTGTCAACTGCACAAGGTAGAAAAGTGATGTGAGAAATTTCATAAGATTTATACACGAGTTAGCCACCGTGTAACCGTTGTAAAAATATTTGCAGAAAATGTATGTAACTTTTAATTTGTGTAACTTGTGTAAGAATTCTTTAACGAGGTGGACCCAGACCTTGGTCAAATACATAATTACGATTGTGTGTATGTATTATACGCTTTGTGATTAAGTAAGCAAAAATGTGGGAGATGTTTACCATTTATGTGTCATTTTGTGACTCTTTGTTGATTAAAAGGGTGGGTAATTAGTTATTAATGAGACCTAGTTACAGATATTTCGTAGGACGGGAAAAATATGAGATTCGCAATATCTTTTGTGATAAGTAAAAATTTAGAATTGATTTTTCGCGAAAAATAGGCGAGGTTTATTATGCGAAAGGTTATAAATGTGTGTAGAATTTTGATTAAAGAATTGGGTAATTAGTGCGTCGAGAGATTAATGAAGTTTGTAATAGTTTTGGGTGATGGTAAAAATGGGATTGATTGAAATTCGCAATGTTTTCGCGATAGATAAGAATTTAGGATGGGATGGATTTTTCTATGTTTTCGCAGTATGGTAAAAATGAGATTGGTTGAAATTTGCAATGTTTTCTCGCGATAAGTAAAAATTTCCAATTGATTTTTTCGCGAAAAATAGGCGAGGTTTATTATGCGAAGGATTATTTTACAAATGTTACACATCTGTGTAGAATTTTTATTAAAAACGTTGGATAATTAGTGCGTCGACTGATTAATGATTCGCATGCAGGACGGGAAAAATGAGATTGCTTAAAATTCCCAATATCTTTTCGCGATGAGTAAGAAGAGATTAATTTAAGGTGAGGTTTTGTACTATGATAACGATTATGAATATTTTATATAAGTACGTGTGTAAAATTTTGATAAAAAATGAAGTAATCAGTGCGGCGACTGATTACTTATTTTAAAAGATAGCGAATTTCAATCAATCCCATTTTTACTATCTTTTCGCGAATTTATGATGAAATTGATTTTATGTAGCCAAAAAATAGGTGATGATAATTTCTAGTTGGTGGAAAATTTGTATGGTTTTTGTTTGTAATAAGGTGTAAAATCAAACATTGTCCCGTTTTTAGCGTGTAATTATTATTGCGTGGAGTGTAAATATTGATAGAAATGTGTGGAATCAGGTGACCTAGAAGAATGATAATTGCACATTTACATATTATATGGCTGATAGAAATTCAGTATCCGTGTGTAAATACTGATTATAATTAACAGAGTACAGAGTCATTAACAGATTATATGTATTTATTGCCAATGTTTTGCATTTGATTCCGACCGAGGTAAAACTTTGTGGATGTGTTCGCATAGATTACAAAAATATTTTTCAAAATGTTTGTAAATATTGCAACATTTCTGGGTTTTCGAAATACAAATTTTTTTGATATTATTTCAAAAGTACGGAAATCCGTCCCATTTTTGCAAAAATATGCATATTTTGTAAATATTTCAACAATGTGGGAGACGATTTTTTTCGCTTAAAGAAATTGGACCACAAAGAATCCAGTGAAAAATTGAAATTTTGCTAAAATTCTTATTGTTTTTGTACATATTTCATAAATATTTTGGAGCATTTTTTTCTGAAAATTAAATACATATTTCAGCTATTACCAATTTACTACATAATTTCGGACTGTGACCACGTGTCTAAATATTTTTAATGAGTTTTGTCCTAAAACAAATTAGCTTTATCAATCCACACTTTTTTTCTAGGTTGTAACAATTACAGGTAGTTTTTCATCAGACGGTAAATTGTGAAATAGAATCACATGTACGCTACGTAACGTTACATTAGGTATGCAAATATTACGGAATCAGTAGTGATGTTTATATATTTAGAAATGTGTGTACGTACCTCATTTGCATATTGTTTGTTTGTTTATTTATAATTAATTATGGGTCAAATTGTGGTGGAAAAGATACTTAAATATTGTGTTTCTAGATCTTCATCTCACCACGTGGGCAAAATTTTGGTCTGAAAGCGATATAAATTATTGTACCTGCACCCATTTTAGCAAATTTTACGTATTTATTGCAGAAATATGGATGGATGAGTAGGGATATCGTTCACATGTGCTAATTTTTTCGCGTATGCAAATTTTTTGCGACATGTTTTGAAAGGACGGAATTGGATTCTATTGTTTTACAGGAATGG